ACAAGAAGCAATACAGGTAGATCAGTTTCATCCATAATTTTAAACTCCATTGATGCGTACTGAATAAGGAATAAACTGAATAAATTATTAACCTACTTAGGTCGAAAAACTAAAGTGATATTTTAGCATCCATCATGTTGGGAAAAGCTCCGCCCCTATGTCTTCTAGGGTAACTGCTCACCCCAAGCAAGGATAAGTGAGGAAGGTTACCCAGGGCGTTGCTTATTACATGCTAACATGGACAAGTCTTTCAAACCTTGTGAAATATGTCCTGGGAGTTGTAACGCCTGTATTTAGAAGATTTTCTATGCCTCATGGGAGAAGCCAAGTCTCTTCGAAAGTCACCAATCCGATGCCTCTGCTGACAATCACACACTGCAGAAAACATGAAGAACAATCTGAGTTGCTGCAGAAATGAAAAGATGAAGTCTGATGGTGCTTAGAATCAGTGAAACACATTGGACGCAAGCAGGATAACTAACATTAGCTTTAGAGAGATGCTATTATACTCTGGTCACGAAGAAGAAAATGCCTCACAAATACAATGATTTAAAGTGATGTTGTCCAAAAACTCCGAAAATCACTTATGTATCGGAATCTCATGTACTCTGAATCATCAAAGCATCGTCGGAACGAGGAAAAAGGGTATTACAATGAACGTCATCCAATGTGATGCATCCATCAATGAAAACAAGGATTAATCATATGAACAACCCATGAAAAGACCTGAACATTCTGATGGGAGACCTACTTGCCAAGGTTGAAATGGACAGTACTAGATGTGAAGACATCATGAGACGAAATAGGCTAGGCTCCTATGCAAACCGTAAGAGATTCGCAAATCTATGTGCCTTCAACAAAATGGTCATAGGTGACATCATATTCCCAAACACGCTCATAAAAAACTCACACGAATTTCTTTCAATCACACTACACAAAACCATATCGATCACATTCGCATAAACAAAAAGTTCAGGCCGATGGAAGATGTGAGAACCAATAGTAGAGCTGACATAGCTCTAGATCAATACTCGGTAGTAGCCAAGTTGAAACTGAAGGTAAAGTAGAACTGAACAACTGGTCAAACGGCATTAAAAAATTTTGATACCACCTTGTTTCCAGATACTAGTAAACTCAGAGAATTCAGATTAGCTCTCAGCAATAGTAAGTTCCAGGCATTCAACAACCATGACGAATAACTGGAAAGGGATCAATGAACCAATAATTTCAGAATGTCATGAGGTTTTGGCCCACAAGAACCACCATCACAATGAATCTGTTTCCACTGATAATCTGCATAAGATTCGAGAAGTGAAGAACAGGAAGACGGCAATCAATATTGGCCGAACAAAAGCAGGGAAAGCCAAGGTACAGGTCGAAATCACAGAGACAAACAAGCAAGTGAAGAAAGGCGTCAGAACTGACAAACGTGTATATGTGTAAAATCTAGCCATGACAACATAAAAAGCTGCAAGAGGAGGTAATGTGAGATGGCAACACAATATGACGAAGAAGCTTGCTGGAAAATATATTAGATCAGAACAAAGAAGGTAAGGCAGTTACCGACATTGGTGAACAGCGGAACGGATGAATAGAGCACTTTGAAGAACACTTCTATGGACCGGTCCAACTGAATGTACCCAAAATCGAAGCAGCACCTACAGACCTCCTGATTAATGTTGACCAACCAACAATTGAAGAGATCAGAACGGCCATCAGACTAATGCAGGGTGGCAAAGCAGCGGGACCAGACAACATTCCTGCTGAGGCACTGAGTGGATTATGAAGCAGTAAACATCTCAGGAAATGTAAGCAATATAGTGAAGATCTCAAATATAACTTCAAGATATTAGCTACTCAGAGCACTCATAGCAGCAGTAGTTCTCAATGTGCACAAAGAAAAAAGCAATATTCGCCGACACAACACAACATGCACCAACCTAGTCACACTTCACGGGGAAGCTTTGGAGAATGTAGAAAAGTTAGTTAACTACATAATCCATCTTCAAAAAGATACAGGTGTTTGTTAACAGTTAGTTATGAAAGATACTGTGGGTACCTTGACCAGACATCAAAAGTAACAACCTGCTGTGGCAGAAAACAAACGGGAAAAAGTTGGGTAAAAGTTCTGAAGATGGATTGGATAAATACTGGGGAAACCACTCAACTTCATTAAGAGGTAAGCGCTCACTTTGAATTCTCGTGGAGAAGGGAAAAGAAGTATACAAAACAACACACTGCCCTGCGATTCGGAGACAAATATGAAAAGAATGAACAGCGATTGGGAAGCACTGGAAAGGAAGGCCCAGGACAGAGTTTGCTGGAGAATGCTGGTCACCAGCTTGTCCACCACTAGGTGAAACAGGCGTAAGTATATATATATATATATATATATATATATAATTTTATGTACATTATGTTCCGTGTTTTATATAGAAAGCTGCATTGACTGAAATTATTGTTAGTTATGCTACTTCAATAGAACGAAAATTTGTGTAAGCCGAATGGCTTAGTTGGGGCTAGTTTTAGAACATAAAGAAAAGTGTTTCCTAACTTCGACTTCTAAATTATCTGCTTCTCTTTTCGTTGATTCGAACATTCGAACTGAATTTTTGCATGTGTAAGAAAACTTATATAAATTGATTTGCTTTTTAAATGCAGATCGAAGTGGCAGTAGCAATGCAGTTTCCAAATTGTTGAGAAAAGTTGAAGTTATTGCTATGAGTCTAAATTTTGGATTTTTATTACCAGATTTTTTGGGTACTCATATTATCTTTGTCTTTCCTCACATTTGTGCTACTAAATTCATCGAAAAGGATGACAGATATCTACACTATTCCTAATGAGGAAATGTGGGCCAGTTAAATCTGAAAGAAGACTAACATGATAGTAACTCCCAGAGATAACTTATAGATTATTATTATTGTTACTACTAGATAAAGTTTTATTGTATAACTATTAGGTAACCAGATTACAATGTTGGCATATCCATTTTTCATAATAAGTTTTCCATTAGCACATAAACTATTACAATACGACTTATTGTTCCTATTTTGTTGCTTCAGTAAAAAATTGAAACATAACTCTTATTGAAACTTGTCGATAAAAGGGGCATAACATCAAATGATTGACGTACAAGAAACAAATTTATGTCACAAACATTTAACTAAGCATCGTCACTTATTCATCTGCCATCTGTAAGCCCTTGAAATAGTTTCCGTATATTCGGAGAGTTTCTAAAAGATAAAGCTTTCTGATTAACCAGACGTCTAATTTCTTGGTCTATTAGAATATTTAGCTTTCGAGCTTCAATGGAATATCTATGTCTATACATCCTTCCATTTACCCGCTGTAATCGCATTAGCTGTAGTAGTGTAAGTCAGTCCAAATTTATAGAAATTGTTTCGGCGGGGTAAGAAAGCATCGAAGCAGAATTCAAGACAACAAGTGACAACACTGACGGTATTATAACTTACATTAGAGTTAAACTTGGTAATGTGATAAAACCGGAAAAAGTACTTAGACCAGTTATCGAATTGGTTACTTTCATTATTGTTACTTCCAGCATATCAGGAAATTTTTTTCAAAGTGATTTAATAAACTCAAAGGTTCTTAGTCATTTTGAGACTACTTTCTACAATTACAGATGTTTCTTTGCTACTTAAGTAATAAAGTATATTTTGATAGAACAGTGAGAAGACGTAATTGATCTGAAAAATGTGATGTATTTGCGCTATACATTTCGAACAATCTGGTCACACATATTTACTTGTCAAGGACGAATTTTGAGGTTTCTGGAGGCCTTGGCTATTAGAAAATTCAAACCACCCAATGTGAGTGCAGAAACAATTTGTTATAGCCTTGAATTTTTCCCTGGTAATCTTTAAGCCTACGGTACGTTGACAATTTTCCTATCCTTTCTTATTCTTTTCATATTACGTGAATTTTCTCTCTCCTTTATTTACAATTATCACCTTAACGTCTATTTGAACTTTTATTTAATTGACCTTTTATTCATCTTCATATAAAATGCCTTGACAAGTAAATATGTGTGACCAGATTGTTCGAAATGTAAAGCGAAAATACATCACATTTTTCAGATCGATTATGTCTTCTCACTGTTCAATCAAAATTTATAAAAGGGACTAATTGTTTTAAATTTCTGATAAAATATATACTTTACAATAGGCTTTAGATCTAATGCTCAGCAGATGCTCTAAATATTGTCTGTCAGTCAAAAATACCCATTTTTTAAACCTCATAATGAAAAATAGCAACAATCAAACAGTTTGAAAAATTAACATAATTGTTTCACATTGTAGGACCGATACATTAATTTGTATTGTGACTAGGTCATCTTATAAGTTCATCTTGATTTTGATGACCGCCGAACTATAAATGATAGCTACTGACATTCTGGCTCCATGAAACTCATGATGACTCTATGTTGAACCTTTAAACCTATATTTATAGGTTGTAATTTGTTGCCTTAAAATAAATCATCTTAAGTCAACGATAAATATTATCTAATTCCTGTGTACTTTTCGAAACGTATTCTAATGGAAACAATGTTGTGTGGCATTATATACAGTCAACATTGTTTAGTTACTATTTTGTCATTTTGTGTAAATAAGGTAATTTAAGAATAACAATTTTTCGAGAGAATATTTGTTTTACAAATTGAGTTGTTTAGTTATTTTGAGCTCATCACAATAGCTATCAGGTGTATGAATTACAAAAATAGTAGTTTGCATATTATCAAATACCCAAATGTTCGTAAACAATTTGTTTGAATTTTTCTCGTGTAAACTGAATTGACCAATCAGGAGTTTTGTACAAGTTACTCAAACATTACAGGTTGTAATTCATTATAATGATTGGTAATATGGTAGAAATTTCGCTATCAGATCAATATTTATGATTCTCATGATTGTGAATAGTAAATTTAGCTATTAAGCTGTTTTTATAACTTTCATGACAAAACATCTTTTTCCAAAAGAATGATTGATCGTATCAGAAAATGTTTATTCACTATCAAGTCATTTTGTTTTGTGATAGCAATTATCTTATTGACAACATGGAGTTATTATTATTATTTCATTCGTATAGATGTTAATGAAAATTATTCAAGATCCTTATCGATTAAAGGTAACTTCACGGTAAGAGAAGACAACCATCCAATTCCATTGTACTTAAATAGACAACTTATAATAATTACAAAATTTGTTCCAATGACTTTTTATGCTTATTAAATTAAGATAAACCGGTTTACTTAGACTATGAAGCCACCTTTTTAGCAAACCAATATTTAATGTCATAAATTTTCTTGTTTAATATTCGTTTTAACTAAATGATAATGTCTGATAACTGTGTGTAATTATGCATTACCATAAAATGTTTACAACTAGTAATTGAAAGGTTCATAAAATATCATCCCGAAGGTTTATGTATTCTCATACTCCCCTATCCTTTGTAGTTACAAAAGAAGATTAATATAAGGGGATAAAAGGAACAAAAATGCCTATTCATCACTATCTAAAAACTCTTATAGATATGTTTGGATTTCCAAAAGCTGAATTCTCTTTTTAACTTAGAATAAGGTCTCAATTTTGAACATTTCACGTCGAGAACTCTTTACTGCTATCAACCTTAATAACACTACGATGGTTAATTAACCTATGCAACATGAAAGGATCTATCTTCACCTATTTATACATTCCCAAATGTTAGATATTATTTAATACTATTTATTCTGTAGTATTTCCCTTGCTAAACACTGTCATCATATCAAGCATAAATAAATGGATATATATATATATATATGTGATTGATTTTTTTTCTTAACTTTTAGGATGACAAGATACACATTGCTATTTTAATTGAAGGTGGACGAAGCCTCTTATACGCAGAAATTCTTATTAAATCCCTTTTATACTATCAAGAAAGATTTCGTTATGAATTTAAAAACTGTTGTGTATCCGATCTCTGTGATAGATTCAGAGATAATTCCTCAAGTTCTGGAGATAGAATGTTACATATTTATCCAACTGTATTTCATATTTTAACCAATAATAAATCAAATAGTAATTTGACAAATTCCTTGAATATGTGGAAATTGCCTAACGTGGAATATTATTTTTATGAATGTAACACATATTTGGTAAGTCTGTTTGTTTTCTGAAAGTCAGTTTCTTATAAATTGTTTTGTTGAAGATACATTATGAAGTTCTGACGTACTTCAATGAATATTTCTCTTAATTTTCTTTCAGATCTTAATGATATACATTCGTCTTAAACATAATTCTCTTTCTCGCTATATAAATTTTTCCCTAAAGTTTAAAACATTTTCGGTTCTCCTAACTTCTGTCTGGACTTTTAAGCAATATAGTAAACTAGCTTTCTAGGACTATCAGGGTTTGTGAGGAGCTCAGTTGAACATTCATATTTCAGATTCATTCATTTACAACCTACAAATGAGTAGAGGTTTTTACTTTTCAATAAGTTTTAATTGTATTCTATAGTTATGACGTTAGGCAACTAATCGAAGCACATGTTAAAAAAACACTACTTTGAATGCAAATACAGGAATTCTAGATGCCCTACCAAACTCATTTATTACTTTCGTGGTTTATAGGTGCTAATAAGTCACTACTAATCCATATTATAATGTGATCTAATAAAATACGTATTTCATTATTCCATATGTTGATAACACTACATTTGACCTTCCGCTTGAACTATTTAATACCATTAACCCAGAAATTGGAATAATTGTGAAACTCTGGAAGATGAATGTCATCCATTTTCATGATGCTCTACTATCAAGAAGGACGGATTGTGGTATCAGGTGTACACTGTTCTACAAAAGGTCATATGTCGATCATTATATTCCCTAACTTCCCTTAGTCCTTTTGTTGATGATGAATGAATAAAACCTACTGTCTGGTATTCTCACACATATGCATCATTGAGAACATGAATCGTCATTTGTAACTACAAAGCGTATTCATTACAGCATCAAATGCTTAGCTAAACGGATAGAGAAGTTTTAGAAACTACACAGGTATGCGCACTTTTTTACAGATTTCTTAACTGTTATTGTCGTATATTCTAATAGGACCAAGAAACTGATATTGTCTCATTAAACTGTCGAATGTTTGTTTCTGTACACGTGTGAAATCTCCAAGTCACTCAAATTCAATCTCATTCCAGTTGTGAAATATCTTTACATCACCTTCGACTTACAATCGAAATTATATATCATAAGCTGGAATCTAAGCCACTGACTTTTACTGTCATTCTATTATGAAGAGATTTATTTTTTAACTATTTTTACGAAATTACCCTGCAAAAATATACGAAACTTCAGAGCCAAAGTCTTCTAGAACTCATCGATCGATGATTAACAACGTTTTTCAATTCAACAATAGAGTCTTCAAACAAACAAAATGAACACCACTGGGATCACCAGTATCAGGACTCATCGTGAAAGCTGTAATGCGGAGACTGGAAGCGTTAGTTGTACCAGTGATCAAACCAATAATATGGGTTCACTATGTAGATAACACATTGGTCATTATCAAAAGGAACGAGCTAGAGAACATCTATGATTGGATTAAAAACGTCTTCGATGACATTAAATTCACGATATCATTCCTGGATATAATAATCACCAGAACTAACACAGGAAAACTATAAACTCAAATATTTCGGAAGCCAACCCACACAGACGTTATTCTCAACTACGGTAACAACAACCCAAGGACCCACAAAATCAACTGCATACAAACTTTGTTCAAGAGGGCAAAGACACACTGTAGCACATATGAAGCACTAAAAAACGAGGGAAAACGTCTTGTGACTATCTTCCAAAAGAACGGTTATCCACGCAACTTCATCAAAAAACGTGAACCGGAATCATCAACAGAATCGAAATCAAGTACAGGAACCAACAAACGGATCATCTTACCATACATAAAAGACATATCGGAGAATACAGCAAGACTACTAAAACCACTTGGAATAAGTGTGGCACACAAACCAACAGAATCACTTCAATCAATCCTATGTAGACCAAAGGACAAAATGACAAAGGAAGGAAAACCAAATATCATCTACAAAATAAATTGCTCAAACTGTGAAAAACACTACACAAGTTCGTCTACGTGAACACCAATTAGCAGTTAAACGCCACGACAACACTTCGCTCATATCAATACACACCGACAGTTATGGACAGACATTCGATTGGAACAATGTGGAAATACTGGGTAGGGGGAGGACAAAGAACACTAAAGGATTTGTAGAAGCTTGGCACTCAGGTCAATCAGCAATCAACAAACACATCAACATTGACCCAATTTATCAACCAATCAGGAAAATAATAGGGGACATGGGATCGAGAAACAGATCAAGAGGAGGATACAATCAAAACAAGGGTGAAAACAACTATATGTTTAAGGTCAACAGCAAACAATCAAGATCGAGGTTAGCTGAACAAGCTACAGATCAAACGTGAAGAAATTCGCGTACTTCACTTTCATCTGAAGTTGTGCTGATGATGTTGTTTAGAAGAACACTGAAAGCTCCACAACCAAAATATCCAGCTCAAAGAACGAAACACCACCACAGTAATAAACCTTCATTACATTATCGAATGTTTAAAAACGACTGTTTACATTTGTTCTCGAAACCTAACCTCAACTCACGTAAATATGTATCTACTAATGTTAATGGTCATGATATCGCATTACAATTGGATAATGAATCTGACATCACTCTGATGTCTCCAAAAACTTGGCATGAACTTCTCTAGTCAAGCGCTCATCCTACTACAGATCGCATGAAGTATATATCCGGCATTTCAATTAAAATTCCAGGAATTATCAAACATATTGTTGAATTTAATAGTCTGATAATCAGATCTAAGTGTTATTTTACTGATGAACCTTTACATTTATTGAGCTCTGACTGGCTCACATATTTAAAAATATTTGGTTAAACATCTAATCTTATTTGTAACCAAGTATCGCATCGAAGTCTCCAACAATATTCTTAAACTGATGGGACGTTTCCCAATTACTTTCAAAATGATCTTGGTTTTTGTGTGGAAGTAAAAGCTAAACTATGCTTGAAACCAGATGCAAAATCTGTCTTTCGATCAAAATGCTCAATGCCTTATGTAGTACACAGTGGTGGACAAAGAAAAGGACAGACTAGAAGAGATGGCTGTTCTCAAACCATTTAACTATTCCTTACAGTCACCAATCTGTGTGGTATTAAAGAAATCGAATGTCTCAATCCGACTGTGTTCTGATTTTTTTACTGGAATAAACGATGCCCTGAGAACACAACAATACCAACCTTCTAACCCAGATGACTTTGTTACACAACTGAACGTAACAGATTCTTCACAAAAATTGACCTACCTCATGCAATTCTGCCTTTAGATGAGGTTTGTAGAGTATTTTGAGGATTGAGGACGTCCAGGATGATATGACTTATATGAATGATATTCAGTCAGTCAGTCAGATGCAACATAGAACTTCGTACGTAAGTACATCAGTTCATGTTGCCATACCATCTGAGCACAGAAACGCAAATGTCAAATCAAATCCCATACTGATAGAGATAGTAGAGGTATTAATGGTAATGAAGAAGACTAGGGTTCGAAGATATTACTCAAGAAGTATAATTCAGTGAGATAAGGTTAGAAAGACAAAGGTAGAGGTGCTGACGATTCCAGAAGATTAGGATTTGAGAGAGCACAACGAATGGATGCACTTGCGCCATTGCAAACGATTTTGAGCCATGTCGTTCAAGGTCTCTAACTATTGGTGACTTTCGTCTCGCGGACCCCAAGCAGGTAGTGTACATCTACCAACATGACTCAGTCCATTTGTCAGTGACTTCATGGATTTGTGTCCTGTTTTAGTCTGGCCGCCCCTAACTTTCTTCCAACCTACTATGAATGATATTAATGTCGTTGGCATTATTTGATCGTTTGACTAAGGTTAATTGTCCGTAAATATATTAAAGTACCTGGAACTTATTGTCGATCTTTTCGGAAGAAGTTCTGTTACGGTAAGCATTAAAGCAGTAGGGCATATGCTACCAGTACTTGACCTCAATTCCCTACGGTCATTCTTGGTGTTGGTCAATCACTATGCTCAGTTCCCTACTCCCTTGCACAGCCACTGCATGCCTCGAAATGATTTTTTGAACAAGGAAACTATAGAAAAGAGGTCCCTAGAATTTCAAAAGAGCTCTGAGAATATCGAGAAAATGCTGTCATTCTATATGCTGCTAAGGCATTTCAATCCTGACCTCTGAAGTCAAAAAGTTTCATAAAATAATCTTTGGACATTTTATTATTTTAACAGACCATAAACTCCTCCCCTCTACCCTCACTTCGAAAAAGGGATCCCAATGTATACTTTATATCACTTGCCGCGGTGAACTGCATTCCTTCTTAGTTATGAATTTACTACACAACCAAGTCAAAAGCTCCAGAAAGTCGTTAAATATTTTTATGCCGGTTATGATTTAGCAGAGGATATCCAAGGCGCTGTCTATTACCAAGTCATATCTGCTGGCTGCGACATTACTAGTTATTCCAGTCATCGTCAAATGCCAGTTAATAAAGCAATTCAATCCAGGTCACCCTGATTTTTACGCAGATATGTACACTAACGGATGAGAAATCGCGATTATTGCAAAGAACTGTTCTATATCTCCTTAAGTATCTAAACTGTCACTGAAATTACAGACATCCTTACGGAAAAATGCTGGAAAGCTGAGGTCCTGTGTTCATGTTGGTTTTGTTAGGACAATGAATAGTCACTACATTTACGAAGTGGCCATAAGTTCGTTTATTCTATCAAACCTAATCAGATCAACAACGAACGCGGTAGATAAACATTCTGGATAATTAAGCTTTTCTGAAACACTATTTATAGACTATGGACCACAGTTCGTTTCGGAAATGTTCTCGAACTTCTTAGCAAACAATCTAGTAGTAGATATTCGGTCTCAGCCTCACCATACCCAAACAAATGATGAAACTGAAAGCTTAGTAGATACTCTCAAGTGAACTCTCATCAAATCATAATTGGACGACACGACAAAAGAAGCCATCCAGCCATTCTGCAAGAGAAGACA